CTTTTGAATAAAAGAATTTTAAGTTTTATTAGGCTTGAATGACCACATAGTGGCCCAACTATTGCTGCAAGTATTTTAAATACTTTTGCATGCTTATGGAATAGAAAACAAATTGTTTTGATAATGCTAGCAATAATGATTCTGCAATAAATATTTTAAAATCTCAACTAAAACCATGCTTAAATGGTAAATTATTTCATATTAGATGTGCATGTCACATCTTAAATTTATGCATTCAAGATGCCTTGAATATTATTTCAAATCATATTTCAAAAATTAGAAATTGTATTATATATATAAAAAATTCAGGGGCAAGAAAAAAAGAATTTAAATATTTATGCCAAAGCTATGGTTTAAAATATAAACATTTTATATAAGATGTAAAGCATAGGTGTTGTATAAACAAATTCTTTCTAATTTTTGTAATTTAAAAATGCCTAATGATATAATATTTGAGAAAGACTGGGAAATGGCAATCTGTATAAGAGATTTTTTAAAACATTTTTATGATGCAATAAATGAATTATGTGGAACTTATTATCCAACTAGTTGTATTTTCCATATCAATTAATGGTAATTAGTGATTGTTTTGCCAAATATAGAAATAATCCACAATTTCAATGTATTGTTGAAATTATGGAAAATAGATTTAAAAAAATTTTGGGAGAACATTTCTCCCATTTATTGTTTAGCTCCAATATTAGACCCTACGATTAGAAAAGATGGTTTGATATGTTACTTGAAACATATTATGAAAATATGAATATTGATATAGGAAATAAAAAAGAAGAAATTAATAATTTATTATTTAAAATGTAAAGTTTGTATGAATATGAAGTTGTAGGAAATATCCTACAACTTGTTCATCTTCTTCTTCTTCTCCTTCTAACTTTGAGCCCAGTAGTAGAAGAGAAAAACATTTTTATTTAATAAGTAGAAGGCATAAATCTACTTGTTTTACCACAAGTCCATTTACTGAACTTAATTTTTATTTGCAAGCAATTTTTTCTAATTTAGGTGAAGTATCATATAATTTTGATATTTTATCCTGGTGGAGTGACCTGTTGAAAAATTTTCCGGTTCTTGCCGCCATGGCATGTAATCTTCTAACCCATCTGGTGCCTACAGTTCAGTCGGAGTCTTGTTTTAGTACAAGTTATAGGGTGCTGAATGACAAAAGAAGCTACATGAATGATGAGAGTTTAGAGATGTGCATCTATTTCAAGGATTGGCTAGATGCAGAAGATAGATTACAAGACAAGGGAGGGCATGATACAACACCGGACATTTCACCCGAAGCAAATGATGGAAGTCATGAATGATGATTCATGAATTTGACTACTTGTAGAAATTTTCATTTTTTTCAAATTATTAAAATTTTTAAATTTTATTTAATTTATTTGATATATATATATATTTTAATTTTTTAACAATGTAATTTTGTATTTTCAATTTGAACCATATTGTATTTTTTATATTTTATTAATTTATTGCATTTTTATATTTTATTCATCCAAGTATGCAATGATCCAATCATTGTATTTGTAATTCACTAATTTGTACCATTCATATTTAAATGAAATAAAATTCCTATTTTTCTTCCAATTTGTTATTCCATTATTCTTATTTCAATTTGGTTAAGTATTTTTTTTTCATTTATGCATTAAATAACTTAGATTTCTCATTTCTTAAATTTTTAAATAGTTCCTAATTCCCAAAGTTCATAGGAAAGTTAAATATTTTAGTTTTACAATTTTACTTAGAAAAGAAATAAAAAAATTCAAAAAAATAAAAATAAAAAAACAGTGCAGCCTAGTTCGACCTATGCCCAAGGCCTGCCTTGTGGCCTAGCCCAGCACGGTCCAAGCCCACAGCATGGCTTGCAGCCCAGCCTAGCCCAGGTCCGCGTGCCGACACAGCATGGGCCGACCCATAAAATTTCCACCGAGGAAGATGTCATGGCCCGTGGCGGCCCATAGGCCAATACAACACGACCCACTTTACACCTCTAAGAACGCATGTGGCGATAGAATGCAAAAATGTGATAGAATTTAGGTTTGGGGTTAAACAAGGGAAAATCGCAACATTTCAAAATATGCTAAGGGGTATTTTTGACTTTATGATATCTTTAGAACCAGTTTGAGCACATTAAGAGATGGGCCGTGTGCTTATGATTTCAGATCTGAAAAATCAATCCAAATATGTTTTCAGATGCAATATCAAACGAGTCTAGTAGATATTTTAAATGCCAGACCTCTAAAAAAATTTATCAAACACCCCCTAAAGTTGTTATGCAGCCTAAAAGGAGAAATATTAAAACTAATTGTGGGAGGGGATGGTCATTTCCTAAAATTGGGATGCCATTTCAGCATGGGAATTGTATTCCAATTTCATTGAATCAAACAACTGGATTGCCATTTCGATTCCAATTCCATACTTTTATTCCACGAACCAAATGACTCCTAAATTTCTAATGATGCGACTATATGTCATTTCGTAATTGTGAGTTTCCATTTTATTAATCCATCTTAGAGTACATTTGATTCATAATTAGAATTGGAATCAAAATCCTTTGATGTCCGAGTGGGAATAATCTTTTCTCATAATCTGTTTGATTCAGACATAAATTAGTATGGGAATTGGAATCAGTAGAAATGAAAGGGAATGTCTATTCCCTCAAATAGGGGAATGCCATTTTAACTTTATCCAACCAAACAGTTGGAATTAAAATAACCCATTTCAATTCCCATTCCAGACCCGTATTTCTGTGAGCCAAACAAGCCCTGAGATGCTTGAAACTTGAGAAGAACTTTAGTTATATTAGGCTCTCGTTCAAGATTGGGGAAAATGGTCGAACCTCTCTTGAGATTACTGACAAATACCAAAACCTCCCATGTCAGATGTGTTGGCCGTGATGTCTAACAAAATGTTAAAAGACTATTATACCCTTACATTGCAGACCTGCCATCTTTTCCTCACCACGTGGTTAATAGGTCCGATCTCTGAATTGGGATCTCCTGCCAATAAAATAAGTTCCACCACCCTACCAACAAAATCTGGCACAATACATCTCACCTTCAGACTGAGGTCATGTTTGGAAATGCTTAATTTAAAAATAAGTACTTATTTGAATAAATACTTATTTGCATTTGGCACCTAATTTTTTCAATTGCTTGTTTTAAAATAAGCACTTATTTTGTATTGGGCGTTTGGTAATCCTTTTCTCTAATAAGCACTTAAATAAGCATTTGTGACTATTTTGTCCTTCATGTTCTTTCAAATTTTTAAAATATACCTTTTGAAAGCGCTTTTATTAAATTACTTTTACAAAAATACTTTTATAAAAGTATTTTTATGAAATCACTTTTACAAAAACACATTTATAAAAGTACTTTTGTAAAAGCACTTTATCCGTAATGGTACTTTCTTAAAAGTGCTTTTGTAAAAGTACTTGTACTTTTATAAAAGTGATTTCATAAAAGTACTTTTATAAAAGTGATTTCATAAAAGTACTTTTATAAAAGTACTTTCGTAAAAGCACTTTTATAAAATTGAAGTAAGGATAATTTTATCAACTAGGGATAATTTTGGAAGAAAAAAATTGAATAAGTGTTTATTATATAAACACTTAAAAAAGCTGAAAATTTGGGCTTAAAAAATCCTTATTTTTTAAATAAACACTTATTTAAGACTTATTTCCCAAATACCAATAAGTGCTTAATGGCCCAAATAAACATTTTTTTTGAATGAACACTTATTTTTAAGCACTCCCAAACATAGCCTGAGACCCACCATAAAAATGGGACCCGCCATGTATTTTATTGGCAAGTGGTCTGGACTCTCTCTTTCTGGTGTCCTCAAAATGATAGCTTTACCCAATTGATATGTAAAAAATCTATTAACTTTGCAGTTGCAACAACCAGTCAACCACCACCCCCTGCTCCGCCTACTAGTGTTGTGCTGCCTTTCTCCAGTCTCCACCATTTCAATCACAACGAAGACCCCTCCATCAACCCATATAGAACCCTTAAGCTACACATCCTTATGCCGCTGCAATGCAATAAGCTTAGAATTCATTTTCTCTTCTTTTTCTTCTTCTTCTTTAAAGCAACATGTGTTTTTGGCGCATTGATCAAGTACGTGAATAAAAAAAGTTGAAACTAACCAGAAAAGGATAACATAATTTAGATAACAGATAATCGATAATGTGGATGGGGTTGGACCATTGGAGTGAGGTTGATGTCAACTATTCAATAACTTTACTTTGTTCCATTTAAGTCCCTTTAAGACGAATTTAAAAACGTTGGCATCAGACCAAAGCCTTAATGAGAGATGAGACGTGGTTTTCTTCTTTCCTACCACCCATCTCGATTCAAACGAGGAGTACAGGTGTGTAGCAGGATTCATCTAAATATCACCGTGGATTGATGGTTGAAGCAACATGAATCTTATCTATGAATTAAATAAAAGGCAATTTTCTTAAAGTACCTTATGGTTTAGCAAATCGACCAACTCTATTCTTTCTGTTTACGCATTATCTTAAAATACATTTCTGACAAATTATCATCATCGTTAACCACCAACAGAAAAATCAAATATAGAGTTTATATTCTTTAAATTTCCAAAATAAAACTCAATTCTTGAAAACTTTAAAGAACTGTTAGATGGTCTCAATCCATGTGAAGAATGGATAAGAACTAATTTCCTCTTTCAATCCTTTTCATAGGGAGACCAAAAAGATAAACCCCATAAGATTCTGGTGATGCAATGATGGCCGAAAGTTGCTATGGCGCCAATATTTCCCGTCCCAGTTCTTGCAGCGCTCCTGATTGTCTTCCTGCGGTAGTGGTGTTCCTCCAAAGGAGATCGTATGGGTATTACAGATAATATATCGTCAGAGAGCAGCAGCACCAACCCTTGGATGAATTAATTGGCCCCAGAACTGAGAACAAAACTAACTCCTCTGCAGGCAGGTTTGTGGATTCTACTGCTTCACCTTCCCTTCTATAGTGGGATACATGCGAAAATCTAGAAGTGGTGTCAAAAAGAACACTAGAAAATCTATATGTAAAATAATAAGCAGTTCGGATCGGCTGAACTTCATCACAATTGAATACACCGGTGCTCACTGTAGGCCCCGTATAGAATCTAATTGTACTGAATACTGTCGTGTCCAACCGTGATTGGTAGTTGAGCCGGGTGTGTACCCCCGCGAAAGGACTGTTGCGTACTCGCCAAGGAAGAAGTGGAGGGAATAAAAGACAGAGAAGACTGAAAGAGTGAAGAGTGGGGTGGGGTTTCATGTTACGGTCGGTTAATTCCCGATGAGCCATCGTGCAGATATAGTGCCTCTGAGAGAGGCTATTGATCTGGTCGATCACAAAGTGAACCTACTGGGTGTCATTGTTGAATTCGGGTTTCCAAGGAAGAGCATGGGAACGGGTATTTGGGATTCACCGTTTCTTTCCTCCTTTTTCAATCGCCTACATCAAGTTGTTCAAGTTTTTAGTTAGGTTTTTCGGATGTGTTTGTTCAATTCAATCCCATCTAAATTTTCGTATCTGATAGACAGTCTCCGGTTGCAGATTATGTCTGTGTGCTAAAGATAGTGGATGACTCGCATCAGAAACCTGAAATTTCAGTTAATATTTTTGCTAAGAACTTGGATGAACTTCCCCGGGTTTTAGGCCATGGAGATTTGGTCCATCTTTCTCGCGTTGTGGTATACTATATCTTTTTCCTGGAACTATTTCCATGGTTCTATACCGTTCAATTTCTTCATGCCACCAAAATGGGAAATTTTAATTTTAATCGCTAGATTTTGAATTTTGATCTTATAATCACTTTTGACGATATGCAAACCGAACTTATTAGTTACTGTCTAATTGAACGGGTTGTACTGGTTCATTGCATTGTATTTTGATGTAGTTTCATTTTCAGTGTGAAACCACTGCATGTGCGTGTTTTTTCTTTTTCTTTTTCCTTGTGCTGTGTCAAAAATGAGGGGTGCAAGTAAAGGTTAAGGAAAAAGAGGTGGGGGGGGGTCACCAATACAAGCCATCCATAATTATGAATGTACATGCTAGATTCACCATTGGTTTTTTACCTATTCCCGATTCATTTTTATACCCTTGAGTTTTTTTCCTTTATAAGACGAAAGTCATTCAAATTTCTTTTCTTTTTTTCGCCAGTGAAACAGTAGAAAAAAATGAAGCCTATAACCTTCTATGTCTCTCTTCTTCCCATAACAAAACTTCAATTTCTACTTATAAACCTGAAAAGTAAGAGTCACTTGGGGGAGAAAAAGTGAAAAGTTGCAAGCTCTATGGTTAAGCCATTTTGGGTCTACCCAAATGAGAAGTAGGTCTATGGAAGCACCAAAAAAAACTATTTATCCTATAAATAGTCAGATTAGATTGAGTACATTTTTAGGTTGTATTATCTGTAAAAGCAGCATCTGCAAAAGCCATTATTTTGGCTTGCACACAAAAGGGTGTAGATCATCCTATTTTTATTACCTCTTAGCATCTTTGATGGTAGCCACCTTCCTGGCTTATGATGCTTGAACATAGAATTGTGTCTTGTGAATAGACAAAGCCGGGTGTTCTTATTTTACAATAGTAGGGTTAGTTCCTTCTATACCAAAAGAAAGCACCAAAGTCTCCTTTAATTGTTTCAATTGCAATTGAGGCAGCGGGAGCTGCTAAATCAAAACCTTCTTCATAAGGTTCAAAATGGTGAATTAAGGTATGTTATACCAAGATCCTCTAGTCACTTTGCCAGTATATGATCTGAAAAAGGGATTCATATGGCTCTCTTTGCCTATGTAATAAAGGCCATTACCCATTACCCAATGTTGATTCCAACTATCTGAGGTCTTGGGAGGGGTGGACTGGATATGGTCCTAACCTTTGGCCTTTTATTTGCACAGTGGCTGCTCTCAGTCTTGAACCTGTGTTTTCGCACTTGATAGCCCAATATTTTTACTATTACACCAAGTAATGACCCTTTTCTTTGCCTATGTAATAGCCCCATGTTTTTTTGATGGTAGAGTAAAATAAATTTTATTAGCAGAAAGAGCTCATACCTGGCTAAGAGTTTTCATTCTAACCATCTTAACATGCATTACCCAAAACAAACACCAGAAATATAAACTGAATTAACTTTACACAGTTCCCCGAATAACCCCTTCATCTGATTGAAGATCACTTCTGTTTGCATAATTAAATTCTTTATGAGAAAGAAACCAAATCTGCTAAAATTGAACATATATCTGCCACTGTGTTCTGTCTCTGCCTATTTTTATCTTCAAAGGTTTGCCTGTTTATTTCTTTGCAAATTCTCTAGCATAACACAAAAAGAACTGCACTCCATTAAATCTTCAACCTCTTATAGCCCTTTGATACGCAATAGAGATTTACTTATCTTTGGCCCATGGAACAGGAAAATTACGACTATCTCAGCTCCTATGTTGTATGAAATCATACATGGACACTTCAAAAGTGAATTCCATATCTATGTTGGCTGCTTCAATTTCTAGTGTAAATTCAGTCTCCAACACCTTCTCTGTGCCATGTCCTTGTATCTTCTTAATCTGTCTCATGTATTTGTTATAACTCTGAAATGCCAAGCACTCAGCACTGATGAAAATGGGTTAAACCCCATTCATTTCTGAATGTCTTATCGTAATCATTAGGTGTATGTTTACTTCCATCTTGAATGCCAAAGCAGTGTAATTTTTTTTGAAAAGAACCAAAGCAGTGTAATTTTTTTTGAAAAGAACCAAAGCAGTGTAAAATAAATCCTTATAATTTTTCCATATTCTTGGGTAGGGTTCCATATTGTAGTAGAATTTGCATGGAGCACCTAACGCTTTGCTGATACATAGTTACATACCTTAACAAAAGATATGAATTCTGCAGATGAAAGTCTGTGATGGGGAAGTTTTTGCTGTTTTCAACAAGATGTTTTCTTCTTTTGCCCTCTTTCAAGGGAAAGCTAGTAACAACTTAAACCCATATCAAGTTTCCTCAAGATTTTGCCATGAATATCAGGATGATATGCTCATATCACATTTGAGAGCATGGCTGCTCAACTTTCAACTTGATGCAGGTATTTTATATGAAGTTACTTTTCTCACCAACCAACTATAGTTATTTACCTAAGATATTTTTTTGGAACAACATTGAAACATGCCAACATTTACCTCATGATTTTTTGACAGTCTTTATTTTTAAGTTCTGGTTTGTATGGACTTTCTTGCTTATGCGTTTCATGTGGAGTTATAAACACTTTCCCAGGAAATTATATGCTTGATATGTTTATGGAATACTTTTTTTTGAGAAAAAGTTAATCAGATTTCATTGAATAAAACAAGTACATGAGTAGATGTACTAAATAAAGGAAAGAGAACTTAAACAGCAGAAACGCAAAATTACAAGGGGGGGAGCCTGTTGCTGTATAAATTTCTAACTTTGCTCCAATTTTAGCTAATCCATCTGCAATATGATTCATCTCCCTCGGTATCCACATCAAATTAACATTTGAATTTTCCAAGGAGTCTCTTGCCTCTGACAGATAATGACTCAACCTCCACGGACCCCCTCCTTGTCTTTCTGAATGCCTAAACTTTTTATTATTCTGATACCAGTGAGCGCTGCCATCACTTCAGCCTTTGTCATTTCAATTTCTTCGATGACCTTAAAACATTTTTGCTCTAACCTTTTCAGTTAAATCCAGTATCCATACGTTATCTAATTATAAATTTACATCAAGTAAAATTTTGAATCTGTTGAAGTTTGACCTGCCATAGAATTCTGTCTTGTTCGTTGACTGTAGAGTAAAGTAGACAGCAAGAAGTAGGAGAGGAAAGAAGAAAAGAGAGAA